GGCGACTCATTGATCCGCAATACGAAGACGGCATTCATTTGCCGATCGGTTGGTTCGCCGATAAAAAATACAATGGATTCGCGAAACCAAATGCTAGAAAAGTTAGCCAACAATTGTTGAGCGCAAAGAAAGTTAGTGAAGACGTGAAGTACTCGCATATGTTGATGCAATTCGGACAGTTCCTCGACCACGACATCGACTTCGCTATGCCTTCCGTTAGTTTTAATGCATTCAACAGAGAATTACTGGATTGCAGCAAAACATGTTCACCAATTCATCCCTGTTTTTCAATTCAAATACCAATTGACGACATTAGGAGAAATGTGACCAAAAAAAGACATACATTTAATCAAAACTGTATAGAATTGATTCGATCGAGCGCTTCGTGTGGCAGTGGACTGACATCGGTAGCGATGGGCACTTTGATGCCTCGGGAACAGGTGAACCAATTGACTTCATTCATTGATGGCTCTAATGTTTATGGCAGTACATCAAGTCTTGCCAATCAGTTAAGGGACAAACTTGGAAGAGATGTCGGACTAATGCGCTCAAAGATTATCAATGGAAAACAATATTTGCCTCAAAACGAGGCTCGACTGCCCAATGACTGCCAACAGGACCCCAAACGGTCAGACTTTGATTGCTTTTTAGCCGGAGATTTCAGAGCTAACGAACAGTTGGGTCTCTTGACTATGCATACACTTTGGCTCAGAGAACACAATCGAATCGCTAAACAGTTGTCGTATGTATTAAACCAATTGACCACAACTTTTTCAAACTCTTATTTATCTTTTAAAAGTGCATTAAATAGTGTTTGGAGTGGAGAACAAGTTTATCAGGAAAGCAGAAAAATTGTTGGATCACAGCTACAGGTCTCACTTCTCATCACAATTTACAATAGATTTAACTACAATTATATCATCTTTTAGTTCATTACTTTCCACCATTGGTTGCCTCACATCTTGGGCCCAAACGTAACTAATCTTTAAGAACATTTGATTTTAAAATATCTAGTTAATTAAATTATTACGGGTAGTTAACTATTCTTAAGTTCAATTTGGTGTTGGTGTTTATATAAACTAATCTTATTTAATGTTAATGCATTGTATCATTAAATGATAATATACTTGAGGACATAAGACTGTAGTCAATAACTGTAGTATTTATAATTGAGTTTCAATTTAAAACAAACTTATAGTTTAGTGAACAAAGTATTGTCTAAATGAGTAAAAATATCTTATTTATGAGCGAAGGGAATGTCAAAACTGGGCGAATATAAAGGATATGATAATAAAGTGAATCCATCGGTGGCTAATGTGTTCGCAACGGCAGCGCTAAGATTTGGTCACACTTTGATTAATCCTTTCTTAT